AATTGGCTGATTTGCATGTGACAATCACTCAACATTCGTGTAACCATTGTCCATATTTGGGACGTTCTCCCCTGTTCAGCCAAATATAAAATTTGATTAACCCGGATCAGCCCGACGAGACTAAAACAAAGAAAAAAAGTGAAAAGCGTCGAAAATATAAGAAACGAGTATCTAAACCTGTCTTGAAGCACTAATAAAAAATGTCGGGAAGACAATTTTACCTATAAAAACTTCTCCAACCCTAACACTAATTTTAATTAAATAATCTTTAGCCATCCCCCAGAAAATACAACGAACATTCCTCCATTAACACAAATTACTATATCTACTATAGCACCAACGAACATTAAAATATATAGAATTAAATTAAATAATCGAATAGTTTAGACGACTTTTATTTCGTAATCATTACAAAAAAATGTACTCGTTTAGTAAAGTTAGTTATTTTGGGCTTTTTTAAGGCGCTGAATATTTTTACGTAATATCTCTTAATGTGAGACCAAACTATATAGATTACGTATGTATATATAAATTAATAAATTAATAAATTACGTGAAGTGTGAAAATTAGCCAATGGTAATAAATTGGCGTTCCATAATTATAACATTTATTTTTTCTTTCTACGTACGTATAATTTACAAAAAAAAAATAATTAGATTAATTTTATTTCACATCTTTTTCAAATTCTTTGTCTGAAATTTCAGGAAGCCATTGAACTGGATGTTTGTTATAAAATGGCCAGGGTGGTAAAGTGAGCTTTGAAAGAGATGAAATTTTTAAAGGTTATACAAAAAACGAAACAAGTTTTATATACATTAAATTTTATAAACGAAACAACTCACTATAGAAGTAATAATAATTCCACCTAAATATATTTCCATGGTCGCTAGTAGATCCTGATTATGGAACCCATAAACAAATCCAATTACCTAGTTTTTTTTTATTTTCGAGTATTAGTATATATATATTATAAGTTGTAGCTTTGAAAGCAAGCACTAAGAAATAAAACCCCTCACCGCAAATAAAACAACGACAATTTGGGATATGAATTCACAATGCTTTTGACCCTCAAAATCCTAAAAATTAAAGAAAAATAAGTTAATCATGAAAATTTTACTAAAATGCTTTTAAAAAAAGGACTTACAATTCTCCACTCAAACCATTTGGACATATTTATCAAAATTTTTTTCTTTTAAACGAAAGATGTTAAATATTTTTATTCCTCCTTTTATACTTTTTACGACCAACAGAAATTTGCCGCGTAATTTCTGAATTTTGTTACTATATTAATCATGTGATAAAGTCATATGATACTCTTATCGATATCGATAAATTTAGTGAATGTTCACAATTATACAGAAAAAAAAATGTCATCTTTATCTTTTACACCATCAACCAATAAATTAAGTCGTGAAGATTATCGCCGCCAAAAAGATCTTGAGGCGGCAAGAAAAGCTGGTACTGCCCCTGCTGAACAAGATGAAGAAGGAAAAGATATTAATCCTCATATCCCTCAATACATTGCCAAGGCGCCTTGGTATCTAGATACAGGACGACCGACTTTAAAACATCAGAGAATCCATGAGATAGAAGAAAAAGAAAAAAAAGATAACAATGAATGGTATGCACGCGGTCTTCGTTTACCTGCTACGACAAAATTCAGAAAAGGTGCCTGTGAAAATTGCGGCGCCATGACTCACAAGACAAAAGATTGCATGGACCGTCCAAGGAAAACAGGTGCCAAATGGACAGGCCAAGATATAATGCCTGATGAAATAATTCAAGATATTGATTTAGATTATGATGCTAAAAGAGATCGCTGGAATGGTTATGATCCTTCAGAACATTCAAAGATTTATGAGGAATATGAAAAAATTGAAGAAGCCCGGCGTAAAATAAAGGCTAATGAACTTGATAAACAAAGTACAACTGAACTTGTTAAAAAGACTGGCGATCGTATTGCTACTGAATTTTCAAGTGATGAAGAGGAAGATGATGAAGACAAGTACGCTGAAAAATCTGATATGCCAGGGCAAAAAGTTAATACAAAAACGAGAACTACTATTAGAAATTTGAGAATTCGTGAAGATACTGCTAAATATTTAAGAAATTTGGATATAAATTCTGCATATTATGATCCTAAAACTCGATCTATGCGTGATAATCCGAATAAAGAGAAAGGTGCTGAAGATAGTTTTTACGCTGGTGATAATTTTGTACGGTATACAGGAGATGCTCCAAATATGGCAAATCTTCAACTTTTCGCATGGCAAGCTTATGAAAAGGGTACAGACGTTCATTTACAAGCAAACCCTACTCAAGGAGAACTATTACATCGTGAATATCTTCAAAAAAAAGAAAAACTTAAAGATACTAGCAAAGATTCGATTTTAGCAAAATATGGTGGTGAAGAGCATTTAAATGCTCCACCAAAAGAATTGTTATTAGCTCAAACTGAACAATATGTTGAATTTTCAAGAACAGGTAGAATAATAAAAGGTCCAGAACGAGCCATACCTAAATCAAAATATGAAGAGGATGGTATGTTTTTTAATATTTTTCAGATATAATTATTATATATATGTGTGTATTCATAATATAACTCTAACTCATAATTTAAAATAATTTGTTAGTCTTTAATAATAATCATACTTCTATATGGGGATCATATTGGGCTGATGGTAATTGGGGATATAAATGTTGTCGTTCTTTTATTAAAAATTCATATTGTACTGGTCTGGCTGGTATCGAGGCTGCAAATTCTTCTAATCTCTTGACCGTTTCTGAGTTTAAAAATGACGAAGAATTTTCAAATAAAAAATCACTTGTTGAAATTCATATTGAAAATATGAAAAAATCAAAATCTAAAAACGTTGACGACTCGAATAAGCACATAAAACGTAAGAATCTGGGAGAAGGTGATATTCAATTGGACACTAAAAAACTTAAAAAGGCATTGGAAGAAGAAGATAGACGAATTAAACAAATTAAACAAATGAAAAACGATATTAACATGGACGATAGAAAACGGCCTTACAATAGTGCTTATATGGGTAATAACGATAAACTTGATTCTGAAGTTACCGAAGAGGAATTAGAAGCATACCGATTGAAAAAACAATCGTAAGTATATTAATTTGATACACTTTTTAAAAGTTTTATTACGGTCGTTTTTAACTTTTTGTTAATATTATATAGCTACGAAGATCCTATGGCAAACTATGTCGATGAAGAGGATATGTAGATTATTTTCTGCATTTATTAAATGATTTTAGCAATACAGTAAGATTTTATATAAAATATATAAAAAATATAATTTTTTATAATTATAATTAATTTTTGTTAAAATTTGTAGCATATAATTCAAATATAATCTTTACAGGAATAAAAGTTTACACACATATAATATATAGCGATAGGCAATGTATGAAATTCGTAACCACAAATTGAGAGTCGATTTTTTATTTGAAACCTTAAAAAAAAAAAAGAGCAAAATTTGATTCATTATTGCGCTAGATTACTGCGCCAGTGACATGAATGTCATGTCTGACAAATCATGCTATATTGTGATTTTAATGAGCTCATTTTATTACATCATTCTAAGTATGAACATGATAATCGCTAAAATCATGTCAAATAAATTTGGGTGATGAATTTTACCTGGTTAAATAACGCGCAGGGGCGTTATTTCGAAATTTGGCCCGAATTAAGCTTAATTTAGGTCAAAATTTGAAATTAAACCCCTGCGCCTGTACGGTAACCACGTGATTGTTAAAAAATTCCGTTTTTAATAAAATATCAAAAAAAAGTAAATTTGAATTTTCTGTCTGATAAACCACATGTGACTTTACTTTGTGATCTGTGTCGGGTACTATGGCTTTTGACAAGTTTATTTCAACCGCTGGCATACATGCAATTTCGGATACTGATCTCTGAATAAATTATAAATGTTAATTCAATGAAAATAACAATTTTTTTTTTTAGCGGAGCACGAGAATTTCGTCTTTCGTCAGAAGAATTTGGGGTTTCGACTTTCGTCAGAGTTTTCGTCTTTTGGAGGTTTAGGTTTTCGTCATCATGCGAAAAAGATTTCTTCTAACAACTATAGATACTATGAAATTGCAATTGGAAAAAAAGCTACAATGGCCGGGAAATTCGATTAGACTAGATGCTATTGCTAGGAAAAAAGGGAGGACTGCTTTATAGGATGAATGGGGTGTTAGGCAACCTTGTACAGTATAAATTTAAAATGAAATCTTTTTACGATAAAAAAAAAGTTGAAAGACGTTCAAGTAGTACAAATTGTGGAAAACAAAAATTTGTTAAACCACATTTGGTAAAATGGAAATTATGTTACGGCTTACGTACCTGTTGGTATTTTTACGATAATAACTATTTGCAAATGATTTAAACACCCACCTGTTTATAAGGCCATGAAATTAAGCCTATTTCGTTCCAGGACACATCATAAGATCTTATAGCAATTTTTAATTTCCATATTTGATTTAAATTATTGTTTTCTTAAACTATTTAAGTGCTTAATTTATGAATTTATTTAGAATTGGTAAAGGTTTTGCAGGTGTTATTAAACGATGGGGTTTCAAAGGCATGCCTGCATCACATGGAACTTCAAAAACCCGTCGTTCAGCTGGTTCTACAGATCAGATCAAAATCAGGTAGATTCACTCAAGTTTTATATTCTCTCTAGCCCATGATTTATTTCATTAATGTAAATCATATGTAAATCTTTGATTATTATGATAGGGTCCTGGTAGAGTTTTTAAAGGCAAAAAAATGGCCGGCAGAATGGGGAAATAATGTAACTATTAGCTCTAAAGTGCTCAAGATCGACAATGCCTTAAATTTAATATGTTAAAGGTGCTGTGCCGGGTCCTAAAGATCAATTTGTTAGAATTAGAGATGCTAAAAAGAAACAAGGTGCTAAATGTTTTCCACAAGATTATTTACCACCACCTTTTCCTACTATTGCGTCAGAGTTATTAGAATTATGCCTAGAGAGTTACCCGTAATTTGCGGCAAATAGTACCCCGGGTCTCTTACATTCCTAGGGGCTAAGGTTAACAATTAGGTGGCCGGATTTTGTATTGCCGGTAATTTCTAAATTAAGGTTAGATTTTCATATT